AACTCAAGGCCAGATGGTCGGTCGGTCCCAACCTCCCACCCCCCACCTTCCTCCCTACCAGAGAAATGTGTGGTAAACCAGAACATTTACCTTTTAGAAATAAATAATATCTCAGACTAAAGTTAGGATAATATAATTGACATTGCTGGATTCCTTGTAAGACCAGGAATATTTTGAATATAAATGTCATATATTTTGCACAAAAGATAACATATTTACTCAGAGTAAACATTAGATCTAAAATTTGTATGTCTAATGCAAAATCTATGATGCTTATATTCAAAATGATCATCAAATTGTAAGAATTCCAGCAATGTAAATTATATTCTGGCCGGTAATTTGTATGAATTTTATGAGCTAAAACGAATATCTTCAGTTAATAAAAAAAAAATATTCTTCACACTGTGCCAGATGGTCTGTCAGTCCTCCCTCCCTCCCCCCACCAACCCTCCCTACCAGATAAATGTGTGGAAACCAGAATATTTACCTTTTAGTAATAAATAATACCTCAGACTAAAGTTAGATATATAATTGACATTGCTGGATTCCTTGTAAGACCAGGAATATTTGAATATGAATGTCATATATTTTGCAACAAAAGATAACATATTTACTCAGAGTAAACATTAGATCTAAAATTTGTATGTCTAATGCAAAATCTATGATGTTTATATTCAAAATGATCATCAAATTGTAAGAATTCCAGCAATTAAATTATATTCTGGCCGGGTAATTGTATGAATTTTATGAAAAAAAACACAAAACAATATTCAAATGATCACAATTAAATTCACAATGTAAATTATATTCTGGCCGGAATTTGTATGAATTTTATGAGCTAAATAAGAAATATAAAAAATTAGACTTCACGCGATATGAGTAGATGCACCGCTGAAAGTGAAAGTCCGGTTCTGGCAAGGTACCGCAAATGAGAAATCGCGAAAGTGAAACCGCAGCGGGTATTGTGTGTGTATATATATATATATATATATATATATATATATATATATATATATATATATATATATATATATATATATATATATATATATATATATATATATATATATATATATATATATATATATATATATATATATATATATAATATATAATATATAATATAATATATATATAATATATATATATATATATATATATATATATATAATATATATATATATATAATATATATATATATATATATATATATATATATATATATATATATATATATATATATATATATATATATATATATATATATATATATATATATATATATATATATATATATATATATATATATATATATATATATATATATATATATATATATATACTGTATGTAGTTCATTATGTTCAAATTAATTGTTTAGTCAGTATTGTCATTCAAGAAACCTAATCAAAACCTTGTAAGTAATATTGAAACATTGGACATGCCTGACAATATAGTGTGACAATGTGATTCAGTTTAGTACGACTGTAATGTCAGCGATCTTTATGCTACTGACAAAATTTTAATCACAATTTATCTGGTATGTTACTATAATTCATTTTAGTCCCCAATTAAAATGGCCTTAAATTTTTTTGGTACATTGTACTTGAATAAGCCATTTTCTTTACTCAAAGCATGGCATCACTAGGCAGATCTATCTGAGACAATTTTGTTGTTTATCTACACATTTGTATTATTTACCCAACAGCAACATACTAAACATGTTCTGAAAGATTTTGCTGCCGTCACATATGTCTACAAAATTGCTATTTGTTGGAGTATGGCATAATTGCTTGCATCAATGGTTAGCTTAACACTGACAGTGACTAGCTTTTGAGCATACTGTAATGAGTAATAATGATGCAGCAATGTAATTTTGAAAACTCACAACTGGAATTGTCATAATTATATTATTTATGTAAAGGTTTAATTTTATCTGGGGACTAAAATTACTGCGTACTATATATATACTGTATGTATGTATGTATATATATATATATATATATATATATATATATATATATATATATATATATATATATATATATATATATATATATATATATATATATATATATATATAAAATTTAAAAATAAATAAAAAAGTACAAAAATACAATGAATGAGGATTAAAAACATAATAAACTTTGATATTTCAGTTGGGAACAATTCCATGTTAACCAAATACCTTCACTCACACAAGAGCTATAATCCACACAAATAATTTGGTTGGTTTGGTTGGCACAGTAAAGAAAGTTGGGCATATAATTTATAATACTGTACAGTAAAACCTCTAAAATTCGAACCTCATAAATTTGGATACATCTAAAATTCAAATAGCATCTGATTAAAAACAAGTGCCAAAATTTTAGGTTTAAAATTCGAAAATATCGCCACAATAATTCAAGCTTTCAAATGCGATCATAATGTTGAGCACAACAAGCGCATCCGGGTTCCAAAACATGCTAGGTCACACATTGTATCCAGTACAGTGAAGGTGGATGGCGATGGAGTGTTGTATAGTACAGTACTTGGAGACTGGTAGGATTATATGGAAACCACTGTAGCTATAATGTTCTAAATATATTAGAATAAGCTTTTATTTATTATACCTATTACTTATTGACAGTTTTTAGATATGTAAATCATTTTTGTAGCATGTTTTGACACAACAATTCGCTCTGGCTTTTCCATACATCAAAATTCGAATTTTTCTAAGTTTCGTATACTTCATGGGCCCATGCAATTCGAATTTTCGAGGTTGCACTGTACTTGTTTTTACTAGTTTGTTTACACTCCCATCATTGATGCTAAAATCCATTTTTTCTGAAAAGTGCCTCCTCTTTTAATTAAAATATAAAAATCTCCTTCAGATTATGTACTAATTTAGTCCTATTCAATATGCTGTAATGCCTAATAATAATCACTCAACATAATCTCACTCAATCACAACCATTCCAGTGAGCAAATAAATTCAAACATTTCTCTGGCATTTATATACAATACCTACAGGTATAATAATATTTATTAACAATAAGAAATAAAAATGTGTCAAGAACATTATTATAGGTAAAGTCTGAGTAAAATCTACATTTTAAGTTTTGTCATTTATAACGTCAGCAGGAAACTGTGTTCAGTTCCCTCTTAAATGGTGGATATATCTTGGCATAAATTTTAAAATACCACATGATTTGGTCATCCCAATCATTCAAGTTGTATGAATAAATGGCACAGTCTTCAGAGATATTTTAAACCTCTCTTATGGTACAGTTTGACAACTGGATATTAATCAATTTCCATACCAAGAAATTGAGTTTGAAACAAAGTAAAACTTAAATCACTTCAGTAATATATATATATATATATATATATATATATATATATATATATATATATACACTTCATATAACATATATATATATATATATATATATATATATATATATATATCTTGATTAAATCACCTTGGGGAAGAAACGGGCTCATGGAACACCTTAACTTTAAATCTTTTGTTACTAAAGAGTTGCACTCTGAAGATGTCTTTGAACAAAATATAATTATCACATTTTCTGGATTTATATATATATATATATATATATATATATATATATATACATATTATTACACAGACCCACCTTTATACAAGGTCCATATCTGAAACTGTGTGGTAAACCACTTTGTGATATACATTGAAAAACAAAACAAAAAATAGAGCCTTTAAATGATACTTTAAAAAATGTGAATTATCCCAAATTTTCCCTAATTCATTTAAACATCTGAGCAAAATAACAGGTCAACTGTATAGAATAAATCATATAATGATTAACTATTTCTTCATGAGGCAGTTTCTCAGGAACTATATACTGTGTGAAAATTAAGATATATCAAGTAATTGTTACTAATAAAACTACAATATATTGATCATTTGTACATTTTTGGCACCTCATATTAAAAATATAACAGCTTAGTGCAGTATCTGGCTTTCATATTTTGTTAGTCATCAATAATTGTTTTCCAGTGTGAGGTGATGAATTTCAGACTTATAATACCAGACTAATTGGGTAAAGTGATCCACATCAAGGGTACAGTGTATGACCAGAATTAGGACTACTGTATAATGAAATATGTTTGCCACCCTCAACACTCACATTTTACACAGGGAAATTGTCAATAGCTTTCATAAAATATTAAAATAAAACAGGTGAGACTTAATTAAGTTATGGCAAGTAATAAAAAAACGACTAACATATAAAGCATTAAAATTTCGTTGTATTTGCTGAAAACACCAAGTAGCACCCTCATCACTTCTTGTGGGAACTTCAGATCTCCTGTACTGTTTATTCATTCAATGTTATGCAGCATTATATACACTCCCTATATGGTCTACTAGACCAAAAATAACTCTCAAGATACAGGTTGACAATCCCTTATCCGAAATCCTTGGGACCAGGTGCATTTTGGTTTTCGTTATTTTTCAGATTTCAGAATGTTTTTTTTTTTGTTTTGTTTTTTTACAGGGTTCAGATCACCTGGGCACAGGTCACTGACCCACATTAGGACTTGGGTGTTAAAATATTATAATAATAATGATAATACTAATAATAATATAATTTATAGGTCTACGTCATGTTTCTTACTTTTTATCTTTTTTCATTCTTGTTTTTCTTTATTATTATTATTATTATTATTATTATTATTTTATTATTACAGTATTATAGTTATTATTAATTTTATTATTATTATTATTATTGTTTTCATTCTTATTTTATTTGTGTGTATTTTTTATTAAAATTTTTATTTATTATGAATAATTATTATTAGTATTAGTATTACATTTTCGCCTCCCCAAGCCCCGTCATGGATCAGTGACCTGTGCCCGGTGGGTTAATACCTGTGTGAAAAAAAAAAAAAAAAATTGCCCCACAAAAAAAAAAAAATAAATCGTTTTTCAGAGCTTTTCGGTTTTCGGATAAAGGGTTCTCAACCTGTACTGTACTGTACATGTCGAAGTATGAAAATTATCTAAGTTTCTGTATCTGGTATCAAGATGCTATCTTAGTTAATTGCACATTGTAATTAAATTAAAATTTTATTCTATTTGTAGTCTTTTCTGTGTATGCAGAAGGGTGCCAGTAGAAGTTATATTTAGAATAAGAACCGACACAATTCCTTACTATAATTTTTCCCTCACCAGTAAACATACTGATCATGTCATCACTGAGCACTCTTATCAAACCTTATCATAAAACTGTACTCTCATTTAAGCAAAAAGCACATGTCAGGTTTATGAAAATTTTTGTCAGTAATACTGCACATAGAAACCAAAAGTGGTGTTCCACAGGGTTCTGTTCTTTCACCTACCCTTTTCTTTCTTTTTATCAATGATTTACTTCACACTACCACTAATTCTTTCCATTCTTACACTAATGATTCTTATCTTCACTCTTCTCATTTTACCCTTCCCCCTGACACTCAAACTAGATCTGTTTCAAGAGCTGATATCATTTCATCTATCAATGCGGATCTGTGCAGCATCTCCAAATGGAGAGGTACAAACTTGGTCAACTTCAATAGTAGAAAACACAGTATATACTAATTACACTTTCCAAAATAGAAGATCTCCCACCAGTCACATTTCAGGATGCAACCATTTTGCCAAATTTTAAAATAGATATGCTTGGCCTTACCATTTTCTCTTGATATGTCATGGAAGGCACACATCTGTAACATAACTAAAGCTGCCTCCCAAAAGCTGGGATGTTGTACAGATGCCGTACCTACTTCACTCCTGAGCAGTTGCTTCAGGTTTATAAGAAGTTCATTCACCCTAACATGGAGTAATGCTCTCATATCTGAGTGATGGAATCAAAGGCATTTTGTCTTATTAACTCTCCTTCTTTGTTCAATAATCTCTCCTTTCTCTTTGCTGCAATGTTGCTTCATTCTCTCTCTTCTCTCTTACTGGTACTTTAACGGGCAATATTCGGTGGATTTGGCATCCTGTGTACGGCTGGCAAGGAAGTGGGCTTGTAACACCCGTCTTGCCAGCGGTGCCTACCGTTTCTGTGTGGATGTCGGTCACACTAGGATAACCCATTCTAGTAGTTCCTTCTTTCCTCAAGCAGCCAAATTGTGGATTACTTTGCCTTCTTGTGTGTTTCATTCCTCTTACAATCTGTCTCGCTTCAAAAAACTGGTTTTCTGGCATCTTCGTGGTGTAGATTAACATACTCTTTTCCTCCTCTAATTTTTTTGCCCCCCCAAGGTCCCATTGTGGCTATTGCCGATTAAAAAAAAAAAAATAGTAAAGTACTACTTGGAATTTAAAATATTACTACAATTCCACATCACACAGAAGTCATATTGGTAGGAGAGTCTAAGTCATTGCTATTCTCCCCAGATTTAGTGCGTTGTAGACAAACATATCTAGTCACATACCCATCACCATTCTGGGGCAATAAAGGTTCCACAGACGGCCCACCTCCATTTTCTTGAGGAGCACGATTCCAATTGTGGGAATTAAAAGTGGCTGGGGGATTCAGAGAGGATGGTGTGGATAATATGGAGTTGTTTGTTAAAATGGATGTGTTTGGAACATGTGAGAAATTATTGAGCTGAACTGCATTAGTGCCAGGGCAATTTTCACTGCCTGATGTGTGACGCACTCTAGCGTTTGGGAGACGTGCATTGGGTGCAGAGCTTCTACGACAGGTCTGGTCAGCAGGCAATACAAGCTCTAAAGAATCTGTATCATTAAGTTGGACTGCTGCTGTAGGAACCTCCAAACATGGAGTGATGAGACGGGGCCACATCGTCAATGTATCCATCATTTCATTGAATGTAGGGCGATCATGAGGATTCATACTCCAAGTACTCAACAGAAGTCGCTCTCTGAAAAGATGTACAGTACTGTAATTATTTCAAGATAGTTAACTTTACTGTAATGTTATACAGTTTTTAAAAATATTTGTACTGGTTACTGATGCTTTCTGGTGATGTTAGTGGTGTTCATAATTTTGCTCTTATTCCACATAAGCATCAAAAGAACAACCCTGTACTGACCAACAACAAATTTGTACACAGTGGAAATCCCATTACAGTACATCAGGCAAGGGCAACCCGTGGCCTGTGAACCGCATGCAGCCCGGACCATGTGTTTGTGTGGCCCATGGTTCAGGTAGATGCAGCCAGTTTATGGTGAGTAAAGCAATACAGTCATGCGCCGGTTAACGTCGTAGATATGTTCTTGGAAACGTGACGTTAACCGAAATGGACGTTGTCCGATCATCACATAAACTTTTTATTTATACGGGTACTTGTACTTACGTGTATGTGGAATACTATATACGTACATATACACTTTTACTCTTAAATCACTACTGTAATGTGATACAGGTGATTAATTTTTATCTCGTGCAAAATACATGACGTTTATATTAAAATTATTCACTGTTTTACAAGGATTCCAGCAACGCTGGGCAGTTGGGGGAGGGAGGGAGGGAGGGGGCTTGGGGGGAGGGGAGGTAGTACGTTTGACAGTTGGCACCGGCCCAAGGTCTAACGCGTGAACCTGTATATTTATCAGTTCTTAAGTGACTAAGCTTTTCTCTTATAAAAAGCCAGTGACATGACCTGGGTGAATATAATTAACATTGTTGGGATTCTTGTAAGATACTGATTAATTTGAATATAAACATGCTATAATTTGCACTAGACATAACAATTTTAGTACCTTAATCAAATTAGTACATGTGCACTCCAGCTTTGCACTAAGGTCATTTATTTCTTTGACATTTCTTTTAGTATGGTGTGTGCATGCAAATGGATGAAAATAAATGAAGTAATTGATGTAAATCTACCCAAAAATGCAGTTGAAAAAATTTATATTATAAATGTACTACAGTACTGTACACTAATGTACAAATTTTTTTTATCTCTTGAGCAAAATATATGACGTTTATATTCAAATTATTGGCTGTCTTGCAAGGATTCCAGCAATGCAAATTATAACCACCTAACTTTAGTCTGAGATATTATATAAGAGAAAAACTGTAAACCTAAATAAACCCCCGGCTGAACACATTAGGGAGGGAGGGAGGGAGGGACGGAGCCAGCGAGGGGTGGGGTGGGGGGGTGGGGGGTTGAGGTGATAAGTTTGAGCCGAAGGTCTCTGTGTGTTTATTTAACTAAAGCTTCTCTCATTTTAAAATGCCAGTGATATGACATAGGAGAATATAATTAACATTGCTGGGATGCTTGTAAGATACTTATTTATTTGAATATAAACATATTGTAATTCGCATTACACATAACAATTTTAGTACCGTAATCAAATTAGTACATGTGCACTCCAGCTTTGCACTAAGGTCATTTATTTTTTTTACGTTTTTTTAGTATGGTATGTGCATGTAAATGGATGAAAATAAATGAAGAAATTTATGTAAATCTACCCAAAAATACAGTTGAAAAACTTTTTATAAAATGTACTACAGTTTTGTACACTAATGTACGTACTACATTTTTTTATATCTTGAGCAAAATATATGACGCTTATATTTAAATTAATCTTTGTTTTGCAAGGATTTCAGCAATGCAAATTATATTATCCTAACTTTAGTCTGAGATATTATATAAAATAAACATAAAGAAATCACCAATCTTTTATCTTGAACAGAGGGTGGTGGGAAGAGGGGGGTGGGAGGGGGCGGGAGGTTAGGTGACAGAATGTCTGGCGTTTGTTTGTTTATTTATTTGAGATAAGATTTGACAGTTGGTGGTGAAGGCCTGCGTGTTTATTTATCATGACTTAAGAGTGACTAAGCTCTTCTCATAATTTGCCACCCAAGCGACCTGGGTGAATATAACTTACATTGGAGTGATTCTTGTAAGCTAGTAATTTATTTGAATACCTGTATAAACAAGCTATATTTGCAATAGACATAACAATTTTAGTACCGTAATCATTTAGTACATGTACAATACAGGTTTGCACTTAGGTCCATTGTTACTGTACAATGTTGACTAAATTCACTAGATAACGTATGCCTGGCTGCACAATCTATAAGAATACGCGATGCATACGTGACTATGCCCGCTCTAGGGCCATTTAGGTTCGCTAGGTCCCATTATTTGAATGTTTTTTTTTTCAATTTAAATTTTAATTGTTTATTCCTTGATAGAGGAAGCGGGATCCTAGTGCTGTCACTTGGTACCGCTGTACCATAACACCAGAAGCAACTGGCCAGTGTCACAAGTATATACAGTACAGTACAGTCATCCCTTGGTTATAGCGCCTAATTGGGACCCCACCGATAATGAAAGTGCAGAACCTATGGGATTTATTCTAATTGGTTCCAGGCACCCAAGACCCAACCCCAAGTTTCCCATTTTACGACCATTTATACCCACTAAATATATATATAATGTTATGGTAAATATCATAAACACACATAGGCATGGCTAGGTTTATTACAAAGTGATAAAAAGGGTACGCTTAATACTGTAGTCCACAAAACATGTAGCTATGCTTTTTTCTTTGGTCCCCATCACACGAGTCCGTTTTCTCTCACATCAGGACGCCCGAGTCCTCCTTTTTCTCTCTTAATCTTAGAGTACTTTGTAATGCCACAGAATTGGAAATTGCAACCCCAATTGCAACTGGGGTTGCAATTGTTGAGGCAACTAGATATGTCTGATTACAACAAATGTGTTATTGTCAATTTGTAGGTGAAAGATTTTATCCTCAATAGATGTAGGTTAACATTACACCTGGAGGCAAATGTTTAAAAATAGCCTAAGATAGGAAGCATATTCCTTTAACACATAATATCTGACCAGTATGGGGAAGATCATCGTGTCTCCGTCAGGGGGTCGTGGAGTGGTGGTCTAGCAGGCGTCACGGATTTATATTTTTTTTTGGGGGGGGGGGGCCCACGGACGTATAAGCGATTGGACGTTGTTCGGTCGGACGTTAACCGGCGCATGACTGTATTTGTTAAAAGAATAATCTTCACACACAATTCGTTACTGTTTCATCACCTAAGGGTTAGTAACTACGAAAATGTAACGGTAAAATAAGTATACAATATATACAGTCTCTCCTCGACTTACGACGGCCATGGTCGTATAAAATATTTTTCACATTACGTATTTTCGAGTCCCGACGTTAGTGATTGTGCTGTGTACTGACAAAATTTTCGTTTGTAATTCCCTTTAAAATGGCTGGCAAGCATAAACGTGAGAGTTCTCATGGTGCTGAGAAGAAAAAGAGACACCCATTTTAGAATTTCTATGTATTATTTTCGACTTTTTGACTTACAACCAATTCGACTTATGACCTGGTCGTCGGAACGGAACCCTTTTGTAAGTCGAGGAGAGACTGTAGTCAACAATAAAAACATTTTAACTTCTGTGAGTTTACGGGCCAAGTTCAGCGCAGTCTGTTTGATGGATTAGCTGCTATGTGGCGGTGGGTCGCAATGGAATTAACTAGGCTGGGCAAGTCCATCCTCAGTAGTATCTTTACTGAGATTTTCAAAGAAATCAAATTTTTGGCCGAAACCGCCAAAATATTAAACCATATATCTTGGTAATATTTTTACCGAGATATACTTTTCACTCAGAATTGGAATTTAAGGAGTTTAACTAATTAAGTACTTCCAGAAGAACACATTTCTGAAACCCATAGTTGGCGAGTAATTAGCATTGAAATACAGTGATCCCTCGGTTAACGAACGCCTCGGTTAACGAATTACCTTCCATTAAAATCTTCAATTTAGTTAACGAAATTCTTACAAAATCATGTCAACATGTTTTTGCTTGCTCACCAGCTGGAATATTAGTCCGCCAATACAGTAATCGGTTCTAGGGCTTAAATTCGTTCCCATTTGAGTAAATATCAAGAAGGTTGTACTATTCAATAATTTTCCAAGTTTTATATTAAAATTTTTCGTCATTTTAACACTTATTTACCATAATTGCAGTACAGGAAACTAGTTTTTGGTGTGTCAATCAGCCACTTGACTCACCCACCAAGGCGTCAGGTTGTATCTCTGGTCAGTGGAGGTAACATCTTGCTTATGGCTCTTTTGAACATAAACTATTTTTACATTTTTACAGTACGATTATTGGTCATTCTGAAATTCATTTAACATATTGACAATATATCGTGCAGTAATGGTTTAAAGAAAATAATCTTGAATTACACCTAGTGAACTTAAAATTTTATGGGTGAAATAACGGCACGAAACATGGGGTGATTTCTCTTCCACCCCCACTTCCTTCTCTTCTCCCTTCTCCTCCAACCCCACTTCTAATTCCCATCATCATCATCATCATCAACCAGGAGCCTTCTACATACACACCTCAAAGTAAGTGTATCTTACTGCCTTTTTTTACTTTGTATGTAATTTTCGGTGAGCTGGAACCAATTACCCAAAATCCCATTGAAACAATGGTTTCGGTTAACGAAATTTTCGGTTAAAGAACAACCTTCCGGAACGAATTGTGTTCGTTAACCGAGGGACCACTGTAATGTAATTAAAATATTCCAAGCATCATTACGACCACTAATTGCCCCACATCGAATTGTGGACCATAAATTTGGAATCGGCATGCCCAGGAGTATTATACCTATACCAAGATTTTCAAAGAAATCTAATTGTGGGTCGAAACAGTCCCTAGGGACTTGATCTCGCTCTCCTCTACTGTATATATTAGCCTTCTCAAGTAGTTCTCCTTATTCTGTACTCACCCCTGAAGATGTGAATTACACGAAAGCACTTGGGAACTTCGTGTTTTCTTGTTTCCTTGTGGTTATCAGTGAATATATATATATATATATATATATATATATATATATATATATATATATATATATATATATATATATATATATATATATATATATATATATATATATATATATATATATATATATATATATATATATATATATATATATATATATATATATATATATATATATATATATATATCATGTAGATCCAATAATGAAAACGTGGATAAGATAAATCTTGATAAAATCACACGGAAAAGGAAACAACGGAGCACCTATATATATACAGTAGTACCCCGCTTAACGCGGTCAATATAACCAATAGGGTACCTGTTAAGTGAAAACCGCGCTAAGTGAACAACAGAACATATGGGATTAATTCCAATAGAAACTGGCCCGACCCTCAAACTCCACTTTTTCCGACACAATACCTATGTTCTAGTAAAAATAACATCTTAATTTTATGATGGTACATGCACACAATTAATACTTAAGAGAAATAGAGAAATACAGTCGCCAAGTTAATGTCCATTCAAATAATGGACTCAACTCCCTCCCCCTCTTCTCACACTACACTCCTGGCTCTTCCCTCTGAGAAATTTTGGGGGGAAAACCACTAAATTTTAATAAATAATACCTCAAACTAAAGTTAGGATAATACAATTGACATTGCTGGATTCCTTGTAAGACCAGGAATATTTTGAATATAAATGTCATATATTTTGCACAAAAGATAACATATTTACTCAGAGTAAACATTATATCTAAAATTTGTATGTCTAATGCAAAATCTATGATGTTTATATTCAAAATGATCACCAAATTGTAAGAATTCCAGCAATGTAAATTATATTCTGGCCGGGTAATTTGTATGAATTTTATGAGCTAAAACAAATATCTTCAGTTAATAAAAAAAAAATATTCTTCACGACACTATCTGTCAATCAAAGTACCCCACCTTGCCTCCCCCCCTCTTCCAACCGCGCGGTCAGTCCCAACCCTCCCCCCCACCCCCCACCAATCCTCCCTTCAAGAGATGTTGGGTGAAAAACTAAATTTTAACATTTAGTATTAAATAATACCTCAGATTAAAGTTAGGATAATATAATTGACATTGCTGGATTCCTTGTAAGACCAGGAATATTTTGAATATAAATGTCATATATTTTGCACAAAAGATAACATATTTACTCAGAGAAACATTTTATCTAAAATTTGTATGTCTAATGCAAAATATATGATGTTTATATTCAAAATGATCACCAAATTGTAAGAATTCCAGCAATGTAAATTATATTCTGGCCGGGTAATTTGTATGAATTTTATGAGCTAAAACAAATATCTTCAGTTAATAAAAAAAAAAATATTCTTCACGACACTATCTGTCAATCAAAGTACCCCACCTTGCCTCCCCCCTCTTCCAACCGCGCGGTCAGTCCCAACCCTCCCCCCACCCCCCACCAATCCTCCCTTCAAGAGAAAGGTTGGGTGAAAAAACTAAATTTTAACATTTTGTATTAAATAATACCTCAGATTAAAGTTAGGATAATATAATTGACATTGCTGGATTCCTTGTAAGACCAGGAATATTTTGAATATAAATGTCATATATTTTGCACAAAAGAGAACATATTTACTCAGAGTAAACATTTTATCTAAAATTTGTATGTCTAATGCAAAATATATGATGTTTATATTCAAAATGATCACCAAATTGTAAGAATTCCAGCAATGTAAATTATATTCTGGCCGGGTAATTTGTATGAATTTTATGAGCTAAAACAAATATCTTCAATTAATAAAAAAAAAAAATATTCTTCACAGGGTAACAGATGGTCGTCGGTCCTAATGAAACACGACTGGAGAACATTCCTTTGTCGCAAATCAAGTTTATAAATTAAAGAAAATAATTACAGTGTGTTTAATATATTACAGTATATTATAAATAAATAAATAAACAAATAATTCGGTAAATCTATTTCAAGTAAATGGAAAATAAGCAAACAAATGTTATTTACCAAGACGCTTCCCTCTGGCTCAGGGTGAGATGTAGGGGTAGATAACAAAGCTATTTATAGCCCGTCTTTGTGTCTGAAGTGGCCAGTACCCTAATGCACCATAAATAATTCATTGAACATTCATTTTTTGTACATAGTATATATATATATATATATATATATATATATATATATATATATATATATATATATGTAATAAATATGTAGTAAGTACATACCGGTAACCTTTTTCACTCAAATCCTAATGAAACACCACAATTAGAATACGGTGGTTGCTGTTGAACCACCTGTTGTATAAATAGTCGGAACACAGTCACACCACCGAGACGAGGGAACACTCCCACCACCGATCGTCTCGTGCGAAGCAAGCGTATAAATGAAAGAAAATACTTGCAGTGTGTTTAATATGTTACAGTATATTATAAATAAATAAATAAACAAATAAATCGGTAAATCCATTTCAAGTAAATGGAAAAATTTTACTCGACACCGACATTAGTTCCAGTTACCGGTAAATAGCAGACGCTTCAGTGACGTCACTTGTGTTTACACTACACCAGCGGGTAATATTTGATGACATTACTTGAAGTGAATTGGCCTTATTTTAAAAAACCAAGGATGGTTGGTAAAGGACTACTGAGTCAGTGGGTAAGTGTCACATTTGGGGTACTGGTCTTATACAGCAAATAGAGCTCAAAAGCTACTTTTTAAATGGAAATTTGGGGGGGCCGTCTTATGCACCCCGACGCCTTATAGGCCGCGATATACGGTACACACAGCTATACCCCAATAATACTCGACAGTATTTCTTACCAGCCTTAAACGGTAATTTAATGTATAAATAGCATGTATTATGGTAATAATAAATAAACACTCATCAACACTCATCATGTTTAGCCTTTACGTTTTCAAAGAGACTTATGGCCTTCCTCTGAATTAAGTTAAGGCTTATAGGCATGCGGTGCTGATGCTGGTCTTCCAGCCACACACTCAAAAGTTTTTCCATCTCTACGATCACCGAGCCTCTTTTCTTACTAATGATCATGGAATGCATTGGCACAGAACCTTTCACATGTTACATAATGCGCTCTTTGTCCTTCAAAATTGTCCCAAAAGTCGAACGATTCATTCCAAGAGCATTTGCTATGCTTATCATTTTTTCACCTCTTTCACAACGCTGTATAATGTCCACCTTAGTTTTCAACGTAATAGTGCGATGCTTCTTACTACCACCATCAGCACTGGCATCACTCTTACGCCTCTGAGACATGTTGGGGTCAATAATATTCGTCAAAACCACAAATAACACCGTAAGGCAGCAGAGGAGCACAACAACAACAATGGCGCTAGGGATACAGGGTGACGCTGAACAGCCAACACCATCTATTGCGAAGCGGTTGAACTTACGACCCGGCACGGTTTTCAAACAGGCAATTGGACATATGGACAGGTTTGTTCATATCTCTGAAAGTTCATAACTTGAATGTTCGTAAGTAGGGGAGCTCCTGTATGTAGAAACAGTTCACAAGGCAACATAAATATATACTGTACATACCTTACATTATGTAATACGGTAGGGGACTTGGATGAAGTCTATGCATTTGAAGATTGTGGGGCATGACTTCAAAGGTATGCTAGAGTGTTATCCATTTGGGCAGCCATATAATAAGGGACATGGTCTGTCCATTTTGTCTCTAATTATAATTGCCATTGTATGTGAAGGCATTTTTTCATAAACCAATGGTTCATAGTTTGCTTATCCATGTATGTATTGGCCAGTACAGTAATTATGTAACAAATAACAATCAAGAAGAGATTTATAAAACAAGTGTATTTTAGAAGAACACTTACAGTAAGAGTTATAAACAAAAATAAGGTGCTTTATACTCACAGCTGTGGCCTTACACCTTTGGGAATGCTAATGGTGTTTCCTGCCCTCACATGATCCAGCACCTGATTGTTGGACATCCCCTGAAAGAAAATTGAACACATACTCTCAAACCTTAAGTCATGTGAATGTTTCATCTACATACCCTTATAAAGTAAAAGAAATTATTCTGAGTGAAGAATAATAATAACAAGGCTATATAGGTACAATGGTCCCTTGGTTAACGAACGCCTCGGTTAATGAAATTTCGGTTAACAAATTACCTTCCATGAGAATCTTCAATTCAGTTAATGAAAAAAAATTTGATTAACGAAATCCATATGAAAATCACATTTTGTTTTGAACATCAGCTGATAAGCTGAGGAGGTACTCAGCCAATTCAGTGATCTCTTCTATGTTTACATTCAAACTAATCACTATCTTATAAGAATTCCAGCAATGCAAATTAAATTCACCCAGTCACTTCTATTAAATTTTATAAGCAAAAAACAAAAACTCAATCTAAAAGAAAAAAAAATAAACTAACAATTAAATACTTCACACCACAGGTGCCAACTGTCAAACATGTCACTGTCACCCCTCCCTCCCTGCCCCCCCACCTTCCTGAGAAACGTTTGGATAAAAAGACTAGGTTTACAGGTTTAAAAATAAATAATACCTCAGACTAAAGTTAGGATAATATAATTTGCATTGCTGAAATCCTTGCAAGACAGGGAATATTTTGAATATAAACTTCATATATTTTGCACAAAAGATAAAATTTTTGCTCTCCCTAATAAAATTCTTAAATTAGAAATAAAATTTGTATGTCTAATGTAAATTTTAGCTTGTTTACATTCAAATTAATCACTATCTTATAAGAATTCCAGCAATGTAAATTATATTCTGGCCGGGTAATTTCTATGAATTTTATGAGCTAAAAACAAATATCTTCAGTAAATAAACAAATTATACTTCATCAGACACTATCTGTCAATCAAAATACTCCACCTCCCGCTCCCCCCTCTTCCCACGCTCATTGGCTCTCCTCTCTCCCTGAGAAATGTTTGGGTGAAAACACTAGGCTTTTATGTTTAGTAATAAATAATATTGTCAGACAATAGTTAGGATAATATAAATGACATTAATGGATTCCTTGTAAGACAGGGAATAATTTGAATATAAACGTCATATATTTTGCACAAAAGATAAAATTTTTGCTCTCTAATAAAATTCTTAAATTAGATCTAAAATTTATATGTCCAATGCAAATTTTAGCTTGTTTATATTCAAATTAATCACTATCTTATAAGAATTCCAGCAATGTAAATTATATTCTGGCTTTACTTTGTATATACTTTTCTATGAGCTGGAACCAATTACCCAATATCCCATTGAAACAATGGTTTCGGTTAACGAAAATTCGGTTAACGAACGACCTTCTGGAACAAATTGTGTTCGTTAACCGAGGGACTACTGTACATATAACCGAAATATTCCTCTGCTATCACTGTGTTCAAGATGGTTAATGCTTACCACAACAACTGTGTTCAACACTTGGTAAATAATATTGTAGTGTATTTATACATTAATCAGTTAGTTGTCGAAGTGAACATGTGTATTTCCCAGTTTTTCAATTGCTCTCCTCTCATTTACTGTTCTCTATAAATTCACTCTTTATTGTACCAAACTTCCTTAACATCAATTCTAGATACTTGAAATCTTTAACTTTCTCTAGAATCTCATTCTTCTTCATAGTTTTATATTCAATATGCAAGGTTTTTCTATTGTGAATTTGCCAACACCAGGGCTAGCTCTAGCTTCTGAGGGGACCTGTGCAGGATAATGGTTGGGGGCCCCATTCCTTTGACAACCCTCCCAAGGCTTCCCTCCTATCATGCCCAGTCCCTTACCCACATATATTCCTGATTTCCTATAACATCATCATCTTGATACTGTTATAAAAACATACGTGCAAATACAGTACAGTGACCCCTCCGTTAACGAACTCAATCCGTTCCAGAAGGTCGTTCGTTAACCGAAAAGTTCGTTAACCGAAACCATTGTTTCAATGGGTTTTTGGGTAATTGGTTCCAGCTCATTGAAAATTTCCTAAATTCAACAAAAATGGTAGAAAAGTTCACTTACTTTGAGGTGTGTATGTAGAAGGCTCCTGGATGATGATGATGATGATGATGGGATTTAGAATGGGGGTGGAGGAGAAGGAAGAAGAGAAGGCATTGGGGTGGAAGAGAAGTCACCCCATGGCGCCATTTCACCCATAAAATTTTAGCTCTCTGGTTTAATTCAAGATTATTTTCTTTAAATCAACACTGCACTGCATTATATATTGTCAATATGTAAAATATATTTCAAAATGACCAATAATTTGCTTGGAAACACAGAAAAAAAGCGTTTAGTTGAAGAGAGTCTCAAGCAAGATGTTACCTCCAGTGAAAACAGAGAGAGACTAACTCCTGTTTGCTGTGTTAAGAGGCTGGATGCCGCGCATTAAACTAGTCACTTTACCTTCAATTATGTTCAATAATTGTTAAAATGACTAAAAAATTGAATATTAAACTTTTAAAATTATTGAATAGTATAAACTTCTTGATATTTACTAAAATAGTAAGGAATTTAAGCCCTAGAACCGATTAATGTATTGGCGGACTGATACTAAAGCTGGTTGCCCGGTCAGTGCAAGCGAAAACATGTTGAGGTCGGTTCGTAAGAACTTCGTTAACCGAATTTTTTTTCGTTAACCGAATTGAAGATCCTTATGGAAGGCAGTTCGTTAATCGAAATTACGTTAACCGAGGTGTTCATTAAACGAGGGGTCACTGTATACAGTGACCCCTCCGTTAACGAACTCAATCCGTTCCAGAAGGTCGTTCGTTAACCGAAAAGTTCGTTAACCGAAACCATTGTTTCAATGGGTTTTTGGGTAATTGGTTCCAGCTCACCGAAAATTTCCTAAATTCAACAAAAATGGTAGAAAAGTTCACTTACTTTGAGGTGTGTATGTAGAAGGCTCCTGGATGATGATGATGATGATGGGATTTAGAATAGGGGTGGAGGAGAGGGAAAAAGAGAAGGCATTGGGGTGGAAGAGAAGTCACCCCATGGTGTCATTTCACCCATAAAATTTTAGCTCTCTTGGTGTAATTCAAGATTATTTTCTTTAAATCAACACTGCACTGCATTATATATTGTCAATATGTAAAATATATTTCAAAATGACCAATAATTTGCTTGGAAACACAGAAAAAAAGCGTTTAGTTGAAGAGAGTCTCAAGCAAGATGTTACCTCCAGTGAAAACAGAGAGAGACTAACTCCTGTTTGCTCTGTTAAGAGGCTGGATGCCGCGCATTAAACTAGTCACTTTACCTTCAATTGTGTTCAATAATTGTGAAAATGACTAAAAAATTGAATATTAAACTTTTAAAATTATTGAATAGTATAAACTTCTTGATATTTACTAAAATAGTAAGGAATTTAAGCCCTAGAACCGATTAATGTATTGGTGGACTGATACTAAAGCTGGTTGCCCGGTCAGTGCAAGCAAAAACATGTTGAGGTCGGTTCGTAAGAACTTCGTTAACCGAATTGAAGATCCTTATGGAAGGCAGTTCGTTAATCGAAATTACGTTAACCGAGGTGTTCGTTAAACGAGGGGTCACTGCATATAACAGGAAGGTAAATCAGTATAAGTAGCCAAGTTCTTAAAGACAGAAACCACCAAAGCCCAGACTTATTGGTGCCAGATGGCTGAAATGCAATCGCTTGCAGTTTTGAGATGCACACACTACACGACACATCAGAATTGAAATACAAATCCTACTAAACAACAAATATATTGTATTCAGGAAGGGGGCCCACTAAGTGTTGGGGTCCTATGCAGCTGCACAGACCATACATCCCTGGCCAACACCAACTACTATACAGCAATACTCCTTCCACTCAAGATACTTTACTTAACTCCTCTAACTTTTACTTTCAAATTCCCTCTTTTACACATGCTGTTGAAGTTATTCACCATCTTTTGCAGTTCCTGTTCAATTCACTTCATAGAGCACTGCTCCCCAAATGTATCTGCTGATCGGTGGTAAAAAGGGACTCTTTGGAAATCTAGGGCAGTTACAAGAGGATAGTAAATTAAGGAAATGTAAACAGACTTAAATATTTTTTTAAGCTTACCTGGAATGGAAAGCTTCCAAAGGTAATAATTTCATAAAGCAAGACGCCATATGACCACATATCACTCATGTTGGTGAACATTCCATCTTCAAGGGACTCTGGAGACATCCATCGCACAGGTAACATGGCTGCCAGAGAAAAGACACATTATAAAGTATGATTTTCCATATTTATCAAGGAAAAATAGGATGAACTAAATTGTTTAAGGTTTAAGAGATTTACATTACCGGTAAATACAGTAACGAAGTCTCATATTTGGTGTAAAATATCGTGAGTTTCGCGAAATCCAGCCAGCTGAATGCAAGATGCAGCCAGCTGAACATGAGATCCAACAAGCTGAATGCTGGCCACCGTCTTGAATGACGTCACAGCCCTCATACTAGTTACAGTCATTTCTGCTACAACGCGTGTTTTGTCAATGCGAATTGGTTGTAACACATTGATGAATAGGGGAATGCGAACTTTTGCATGTGATTAAATTACTTGAGGATGGCCTAAAAACTAGTTTCAAGAAAGCACAATCAGGTCAATAAAGGCAGAATTTGTATCATTTGGAGGTTAGAAATAGGAAAATCAGAGGTTGATGTAGAGTGGCCAGTCTATATTGTTATTTTTCCCATTAGTATTTGCATTTGACGAATTTGAATTTAGCAAAAGTTTTCCAGTCAATATTACTTACGATATACAAGATCTCACTGTACCTAAAATCAACTAAAGTGTTATTATTTGAGAACTTCAACAATAAAAAGATAAAACTTTCTGTTTTTGAATACTTACCTCGTCTGTTGAAGCGGTAATAATCGCTTTCATACATGGGACGAGTCATGCCAAAATCTGAGAGTTTGACGACTCGTTCGGCACTCACGAGACAGTTTCTGCATGCTACATCCCTAGTGAAATAACAGTTAGTTGGTATTAGTAGTTTATTGGTAACTATTTAGCAATCAAATTCTGTAGTCTTTCAAAAACTCAATTTTCACCACAATAAATGTTTTTATCACAGCTCTCTGGTCATAATCTGATTAAGAACATGTCAAGCAGACCATGGGGAATAATGTGTACAAAGTTTTGAAATAGTAAGAATAGTGCCTTTTGATTTGAAATGAGAGGAGAGGTGGCAATGAAATATACTGTAATATAACCAATCATGAATCTAGCAACATAAACACAACATCAACAACCTTGTGGTTTATTCCCACATAGTTATCAGCATCCTCCAATTGTGTGACTGAGACGACATACTAGATGTTAAAAAAAAAAAAATATCATATACTGTAGAAAACTAGAGTACAGTAGTACCCCCGCGGTCAATTGAACCCACAGGGTACCTCGGAAAGTGAAAACCGCGTAAAGTGAACAACAGAACATATGGGATTAATTCCAATAGAGACTGGGCTGACCCCCAAACTCCACTTTTTCCAACACAATACCTATGTTGTAGTAAAAATAACATCTAAATTTTATGATGGTATGCTCACACAATTAATATTTAAGAGAAATACAGTCGCCAAGTTAATGTCCATTCAAATAATGGACTCAAATCCCCCTCCCCCCTCTTCCCAGCTCACTAGCTCCTACCTCTCTGAGAAATGATTGGGTGAAAACACTAGATTTTAACGTTTAGTAATAAATAATACCTCAGACTAAAGTTAGGATAATATAATTGACATTTCTGGATTCCTTGCAGGTCAGGGAATATTTTGATGGTAAACTCCATATATTTTGCACAAAAGATAAAATATTTGCTTTGTGTAAACCAAATTATTACATTAGAGCTAAAATTTGTATGTCTAATGCAAAATCCATGATGTTTATATTCAAATATGATCATCATATTGTAAGAATTCCAGCAATGTAAATTATATTCTGGTCGAGTAATTTGTATGAATTTTATGAGCTAAAACAAATATCTTCAGTTAATAAAAAAAAAAAAATATTCTTCACGACACTATCTGTCAATCAAAGTACCCCACCTTGCCTCCCCCCCCCCTCCTCACACTCACGCCAGCTGGATCGGTCGGTCCCAACCCTCCCCCCCACCCACCACCTTCCCTCCCTACCAGAGAAATGTTTGGGTGAAAATACTAGATTTTAACTTTTAGTAATAAATAATACCTCAGACTAAAGTTAGGATAATATAATTGACATTTCTGGATTCCTTGCAGGTCAGGGAATATTTTGAATGTAAACTCCATATATTTTGCACAAAAGATAAAATATTTGCTTTGTGTAAATCAAATTATTACATTAGATCTAAAATTTGTATGTCTAATGCAAAATCCATGATGTTTATATTCAAAATGATCATCATATTGTAAGAATTCCAGCAATGTAAATTATATTCTGGCCGGGTAATTTGTATGAATTTTATGAGCTAAAACATATATCTTCAGTAAATAAACAAAGAAATATTCTTCAAGGACACTATCTGTCAATCAAAATACTCCGCCCTAGCTGGGTCGGTCCCTCCCTCCCTCCCTTCCCTCCCTACCAGAGAAGCTTTGGGAGAAAATAGTATATTTACATTTTTAGTAATAAATAATAACTCAGACTAAAGTTAGGATAATATAATTGACATTTCTGGATTCCTTGCAGGTCAGGGAATATTTTGAATGTAAACTTCATATATTCTGCACAAAGGATAAAATATTTGCTTTGTGTAAACCAAATTATTACATTAGATCTAAATTTGTATGTCTAATGCAAAATCCATGATGTTTATATTCAAAATGATCATCATATTGTAAGAATTCCAGCAATGTAAATTATATTCTGGCCGGGTAATTTGTATGAATTTTATGAGCTAAATAAAAAAAAAATAAAAAAAAAATATACTTCACCGCGTATATGAGTAAGTGCACCGCGGAAAGTGAAAGTCCGGTTGTGGCAAGGTACCGTAAATGAGAAAGAGAAAGAGAAATCGCAGAAAGTGAAACGTGTAAAGCGGGGTAATACTGTACATCTTCCTACTCAGTGAAGGAGTAATCCTAATATCACCTTTCCTGGCTACCCATGAGATCTTTAGCTTTGCCTCTAGGGTCTAACAGGGCTGAGATACAGTAATTGTAATTTTCTAATCAATCACCCTTCTTTAAACACATGCACTGCCCACATAAAATAAATGGGGTTTATGTTGAAGTTGCCCCCCCCTCCCCCCTGGAAAGAGTTAGGGGGGGGGGGAGACTGGACATCTGCTCCAAGCCAGTATCTACAGTAAGTGATCATCATGGCATAATGCTGGCTCCACTCTTTAGGCATTTAAGCTTGATAATGTATTATTTAATGTATGTGGACAGTCAACATCCTTTTCATGCCTCCATGATCCAGACTTGACCAACACTGGTGCAAATACAGATACATTCTAGAATCAGTACACGTCCATTAATTGTCAATAGTATGTAACAGTGAAGTGACTGAACACCCAAACAGCTAACGAGCCTATACAAACTCATGGGTAGATGGAATGCAGTGATGATAGTAATGGTGGTAGTGATGGTAATTTTGACTTGTGAGGTAGTAATGGTGGTGAGGACTGGTTAGAGGCAGTGCTAGAGTGCACAACAAATCACCATAATACAGGGGGCCCCCAAGTTCGCGGATTTTTACTTCGCGGTTCTTGGTTATTCACGGATGACACCCTGGATGTACCCAAGAATGTCTGTGGGTAGTTTTAAAGTTGCCGACATTTTTGCGGCTGGGACAGGGAGCCATTCGTTCTAGAGACAGTAATTTCCTTTACCTGTATGGTGTTACGAACCACGCCATCAATTGTCATGATCTACCTACCCAGCACTACGAACCACGCCATCTATTGTCATGATCTACCTACCCAGCACCACGAGCAACGCCATCTAGGGACGAAACCCGAGTATGACTAGTCTTAGTTACCACTCCGGGGTTTCCCTTCTCCATATCCTGGTTGTTGCGTCACCTCCTCCAAGTCTTCCTCATCAGCTCCAGTTCGATGAGAGTTCAGTTCACTCTGGGAAGTGACCACAGGATCACCTATCCTGGAAACCTACGGCACAGTGACTACCTACCGTCTTCTACAATACTCAGCCTTACTCGTCAGCCATCTCAGCTCCGCACTTAAGTATTTGTAATCTTATATTGCCTCCCCACCTCCACCTTGCTTCAAATTATTGTATGTTGTATAAATATGTATATACTGTTAATGTTTAGGTTAAGTATGCTTAAGGGTAAATTATAGAAAGCTGAATATTTTGTTAAGGAATTTATGGTACTTTATTATACACAACAAAAACTCGCATCCTTTGTCTACCCTTTTATAGTCCGATTGTCTTTGTTTTTTTATTGTTGTTGCCTGTTGGGATCTGGGTAGACTTTTAACTATATTCTAAATCCCCAACTCGTAACAATGGTAAATACCCTGTATGTGTATGTGTGTGGACACACTCACAAAAGGCATACAAATAAATAATAATTGGAAAATCCTCTCACAAATAATCAGAAACAAATCTATTAAAAATGTGACAGTCTACCCTCGAGTCCGTGCTCTATTACTAAAGTACACAAACACACACACACACACACACACACACACATATACAATACTACGGTAAAAGAAATAATTGTCCTAAGGGCAAACACATAAAAGGAATACAGTAAAGCCTCCAATAACAACGATTCAACTAACGAAGATTCATATCTAAGACCCTGGTTAATTTAGGACCCAATTCAATTTACGCCATTATTTTCTTCGTATTTACGATGAAATTAAAAAAAAATATTATATTTTTGTATAAATAATAACTATATCCTGATATTAAAAAAAAAAAAACACGCCTTGCGCACGGAGGCTGCCAGGCTTGTGAGTGGTGAAGCCAGCATCACTTGTACTGTATATAACAATCGCAGCTGGCAGTCCCTTTGTTTTCACGCATCTGAACAGGAAAAGGAGAAAAACTTTTTCAGGTTTCTTACAGAATTTTTGCATCCCTATTCAACATGAGCAAGAGAGCAAGTGTTGGTAGTGATGTTTCAAAAGCTAATAGAAAGTGTATAAGCTTAGCCGAGAAACTAGATATGTTAAACGGATATGAAAAAAGTGAGAGGTCTGTGGAGCAAATAATAAGGAACATCTTTTCTGAAGTGGAAGAACGAAGCATTAAAATTAACAGGGACATGAAAAATGCATATGACCTCTACATAAAGATGTATAATGAGAAAAGAAAGCAGCTGTGCAAGGTTCTTTCGACAGCTTTATTATTCAACTTCAGCATCATAAGCAGCTTCAACAACTTCAGGTTCAGTAACAGTTTCAGCAACAGCTTTATAGAAAGCTACAGCTCCAGCCAGAGTTGAACCTGATGACTTCGTCATCTGAGTAAAAACTCGCACAACATCATTGGCTGTCTTTATGTTTTAGACTTTACCACTATTGGTGAGTGGAATTTTTGTTTTACATTCGTAAGTATTATTTAAAACATATATGAACACTAAATAAGTGTTGCTTTCATATTCATATGTAGAGAAATGACGATATGTTTTCACATGTATGCACTTACTGTACATACGTTGGCGTTCCCAATCGTCTCACTTTATTTCTTTACCATTAGTGGTTAGCTACTTCTTGTGTTCCATTTATTAACATTAAATAACATTACTTAAAACATATATACTACAGGTATTAAATTTTTTACATTAAGTTCACTACAGTTACAACCAGGGACTTCTTTTCTTTATTTTCTCATGTAGAACTATCATCCCGGACGCCCGGCTGTAAACACTAATGAAAACAATGGCGTCCCATCTCCTCTTGTGTGACCATATTATTATTCATTTATATTGTATAAGGTGCATCCAGAAACATTATTTAAAGAATATAGTTTGCAATTTTCTTTAATTGTATAGTTTTGGGGGGAAAAGCTATGAAAAGGTCACACTTGGGAACGCATCTCATTATTATTGCTTTATTTTAATGGAAATTAATGATTCGCGATATGATGATTCACCTTACACTATAATATTGGAGGACATATTACTAATGTTATTCGAGGCTTTACTGTATACAGTACATTTCTTTGTACACAAGTAAAAATGTAACCCCCCCCCCTGTCTGCAAATGTTATTCACAGATTTGGCGATTCGCGACCATTTTGAGAACCTAATCCCAGCGAATTTGGGGGGCCCCCTGCACTTATAGATGTTTTTAAAAAGTTACTAAAATTTGTATCTGATAGCAAGCAGCATCCCCACTTTTGCCAATTTTTTTTTAGGAAAAAAATGCAGCTTATAATCATCAAAATACGGTTAAGCCTTCCTTGCCATGATCTAAGTGACCAGGATTTATTTATTCACCTCTGGAATGCCCAAGGCCACCCACAACTTCTAAAAAGGCCCTGCTTATTTGCAGAAACAAATGCTACTTTACCTTCCATAAAAACACTGTTCTCTTGCTCCTAACTGCTTCCCTTATATACAGTACTATAAAACCAATTGAGGCATGAAAACTCATTTGTGCTGAAACCAGCAAAGGAAACTTGTAATAGAATCTTCCATGCCTTACACGTGGGCCTGGGCTTAATTCACCATTGATCAAATAGCACAAATCTCTAGGTAAGATTTAATGTTTATGTGAGGTATTCACTACAAACGAATCCTTTTCCCTTTCCATGTAAATTCATAACGCCAGAAAATTATCAATGACACATTACACAAAGTTTAACTTCAGCCTGATAAACAGTCAGCTTCCTTACCTGTGTACATATCTTAGCTCTGTAAGATAGGCTAATGCACGACATACATCAAGTGCCATGGAAGTAAGGCGCTTACTGCTGATTTCGTCCTCCTCTGTGTGCAGTGATCGGTCAGATACTAGGTGACGACGAGCCAATAGATACGTCTTGAGGTCACCTGTTGCAAAAGGCAAGTACTAATGACCAAAAAATGAATAAAATTCCACTGATTATTATTTTCCAGGCTAGCAGCATTACTCCACTATCAATTACATCAGGTGGAACACCATTAACATAATTAAGGTTCTGTTAAGAGTAGTAGTGTTATCCCTACTTATTCTTAATTCCCTGAAATTGGAGCAAGGTAAACTTTTGTATGCACGGTTCAGTTATCATAATTTTTTATCATCATCTGCTATGAAGTATCAGGGGAAGAGTTGGGAGGGAGGATCAAGAGGACGGAACAACATAACTGTGTTGGTGAATACAGTATTCAATATGCCCATTGAGTTGTATTTTTTAGGTATGTAATACATACAATAATTATATATTTATTTGCATCTTTATTATGTTTTATTTTCATGTTATTAAATGATGTTTGAGAGGGAGAGAGGTTACAGATGATTAAAAACACGTTTAGGGCCGTACAAGTGATCAGGGATAGGTTATAATATTGAACATTACACGGTAAGTGAATATCCGGAAAAGAGTATTCACAGCTTTGCTCTTTCAAAATAATATCAGGAATGTAACCCCCACGAAAATGAGGGACCACTGTATTTGGTAATTGTGCTACAAGAATGAAATACAAAACATCTGGCTATTATGTGTTGGTGCTGAACAATCAAGAAATCATCCAGTATCCAGGTGACATAATGCAAATTAATGGATACATTCTCTAATACTGTATACATATTTTTATTAACAATACTGCAATGTTACTGAAATTCAAGTTTAGTACTTTGATTTACTGCTGAATAACAATAAAGTAGTATTGTTTTTATGCCATAATGTAATGTTTGAAAAGATTGTTTATACACTATGGAGTTTTATATAGAAAACGAATAAGCTAAGATGGATAACAATAAAATAAACACAGTGTCAACATCCACTCACCATACAGCAAAAACTCCATGATCATGTAGATAGGTTCCTGGTGAGTACATAGACCAAGCAACTGAACAATGTTCTTATGATTGAACCTTTTCATCATTTCTGCCTCGCCCAAGAAGTCTAATTTCTCCTCGACCGTCGAACCAACTTTAAGTGTTTTGACGGCCACGGCCAGCCAAGGTGTGTTGTCCCCAAACTGACACTCACCGCCAAATACTGTACCAAATGCTCCTTCACCAATAGTACGATTAATGACCACTTTTTCCCTTGGCAGCTCCCATTCGTTAAGGGACATGAGATCTCCTAGTGGCCAAGTTGACTGATCTGGAACCATGTTCTCGTACCTGACAAAAAAAAATTATATAATACTTCATTTAAAAAAATACAATTACTGTACAACTCAAATACCTGTATTAATAAAAAATATTGTCTTTATATATATATATATATATATATATATATATATATATATATATATATATATATATATATATATATATATATATATATATATATATATATATATATATATATATATATATATATATATACACACACAGTATTACCCCGCTTTATGCGGTTTCACTTAACGCGATTTCTCATATACGCGGTGCCTCACCAGAACCGAAGTTTCACTTAACGCGGATCATCTACCCATATACGCGGTGAAGTATAATATTTTTTTATTTTTTTATTTAGCTCATAAAATTCATACAAATTACCCGACCAGAATATAATATACATTGCTGGAATTCTTACAATATGATGATCATTTTGAATATAAACATCTTAGATTTTGCATTAGACATACACATTTTAGATATAATGTTTACTCTGAGTAAATATGTTGTCTTTTGTGCAAAATATATGACATTTATATTCAAAATATTCCTGGTCTTACAAGGAATCCAGCAATGTCAATTACATTATCCTAACTTTAGTTTGAGGTATTATTTGTTAAAATCTAGTGGTTTTCCCCCAAAAATTTCTCAGAGGTAAGAGCCAGTGAGTGTAGTGTGAGAAGAGGGGGTGGGAGTTGAGTCCATTATTTGAATGGACATTAACTTGGCGACTGTATATCTCTATTTCTCTTAAGTATTAATTGTGTGCATGTACCATCATAAAATTAAGATGTTATTTTTACTAGAACATAGGTATTGTGTCGGAAAAAGTGGAGTTTGGGGGTCAGCTGGTCTCTATTGGAATTAATCCCATATGTTCTGTTGTTCCATTTACGCGGAGTTCACTTAACCGAAACCATTGTTTCAATGGGTTTTGGGGTAATTGGTTCCAGCTCACCGAAAATTGCCTAAATTCAACAAAAAAGGTAGAAAATTACACTTACTTTGAGGTGTGTATGTAGAAGGCTCCTGGATGATGATGATGGGAATTAGAATGGGGGTGGAGGAGAAGGAAGAAGAGAAGGCATTAGGGTGAAAGAGAAGTCACCCCATGGCGCCATTTCACCCATAAAATTTTAGCTCTCTTGGTGTAATTCAAGATTATTTTCTTTAAATCAACACTGCACTGCATTATATATTGTCAATATGTAAAATATATTTCAAAATGACCAATAATTTGCTTGGAAACACAGAAAAAAAGCGTTTAGTTGAAGAGAGTCTCAAGCAAGATGTTACCTCCACTGAAAACAGAGAGAGACTAACGCCTGTCTGGTGTGTTAACAGGCTGGATGGCACGCCAGAAACTAGTTTCTTTACCTTCAATTATGTTCAATATTTGTTAAAATGACTAAAAAAGTTAATATTAAACTTTTAAAATTATTGAATAGTATAAACTTCTTGATATTTACTAAAATAGTAAGGAATTTAAGCCCTAAAACCGATTAATGTATTGGCGGACTGATACTACAGCTGGTGGACCGCCAAATGCAAGCGAAAACATGTTGAAGTCGGCTCATAAAAAACTCGTTAATCGAGGGATTGCTCGTTAACCGAAGTTAAGAATCTTATGGAAGGTAAATTGTTAACCGAGGCGCTCGTTAACCGAGGGACCACTGTATGTATGTATGTATGTATATATATATATATATATATATATATATATATATATATATATATATATATATATATATATATATATATATATATATATATATATATATATATATATATATATATATATATATATATATATATATATATATAGCGGTCCCATTCGCGTTTCCACGTTAACGGTGCCTTGCCCAGAACCGCGTGCTCATTACGGGAGAGTGTCGGTAGCGGCGCTATTTTGGGTCGCCCCACCGC